CCGTAACTTTAATTGCTCAGAGATAATTTGGACTGCTTTATTTTATCTAATTTTCAAAAACCCTTAGTTTTGTGTGTGTGAAGGGTTGTAAAACTTGAAATGTTCCTTGCTGGATTTATCGGATGAACTGCAGAGGATCACACATTTCCTAAGAGCTATAAACGGAGCACTCAACACAAAAATGCACTCAGATTTGTCACAAGATGTGGGAACTTTTTTAATTCAGAGCATAAAGTTGGTAGTAGCCAGATGGACAGAGACACCCGAAAAAATGTTCAGGCTCACCAGTAATCCTTCAGGAAGACAGACAGACAGACAGACAGACACTTACAGACACACACACACACCTTTGCAGCAGTAATACCATGCTTTATTAGACGGCCTCTCCTGCCATCCTGTCTCCCCCCTCAGATTAATATCCTCTGGGCTTCTCACCAGCTGTTTCCGTCCCTTAACACCCCTCATCTTCCTCCGGCCGGCCCTCCGCTTCACATGACAGGGCTTACAAACTGGGCCACGACGCCTGCGTGGCTCTAGGAGAGGTCTTCAGCTTAGCTCTTTGTGTGTGTGTGCGCGCTCGTGTGTAAGCTGAATGGCAGACCTCTTGTCCACGCAACTGCAAATATATCACAGTGCCGAGACACAGTGTTGATAAGTTGATGAAATCTTTGAACTTGTGTGGTTTACACCATCTTATTTGCGCCCACTTGAGTGAGGAAAGGACAGACACAGACAGACATGATTTTATACACTATCTGGATCTGGATTTTGCTAACGCTACGACCATTTCGCCACTCTGAAACTGATGTTAAGTGTCAAAAGTATAACGTTTTTACAAGACAAGCAAAGGCCAAAAAACCCCACATCTTGTTTGTGGCTTTACCTGCTTCAATCTGTGTTCTGAGTCACTTGTCATCACTTCATCATTCAACACAACCTTTGTTGTAAATGTGATTTGATGTATTGACGTATTTACAAGGTTTGTTTTTCACTCCGTCCGTTTAGTTTCAGTCTGTCTGTGCTTGTTCCTGTGCCCAAGCGTGTGTGTGCGTACTGTATATGTGTGCAAGGTCTCGATCCCTTGGGTGTGTCTGCCTTTGGCTCAGGTGGGTGTTTACTTCTCATGGTGTTTTTACTGTTTGTGTGTAAGGGCAGACAGGATGTGCGGTGCTTGTCAGCACGCTCCAAGAGATGAAAGGCTGGAGAGGGTGTGGAAGTAGCCGAGTGCTGTTCAGGTAACAGGTTGTCTTCTCTGAAATCTCTCAAGAATTCAGTCCTGTTGCCTTCAGCATTCTTAGTGAGCCACCAGTGAACACCACTCACCACCACGTTGCTTCAGAATATAACTCAACACCTCCTTAAAATCTGGGCATAACTGAACACCAATAGGGTCCAGGTGCTCAATCTCAAAACACAACCATGAGTCGAACATTCGGAGCAGCTAGGTTGGCGCTCCTTGATTCGTATGTGCTCTGTGTGCGTGTAAACTGTTACTAAACCACTGCTATTAAACTGGTTGCATCACCAAAAGATGACAGATGCAACATGAGTCAGTTTTAAGAATGGGGCCTACTGACATGAATATTGATGAGCAGTTGTTATTGACTTTGGGTTTGGACGTTGGGAATGACATACTAAGAATGTCACTGCAATGCAGTCGAGCAGGTTTACATTATTAGTTAGAACTTACAGCAACCACATCTATTGTTAGCACAGGTGAGGTTATTAGTTTGACTCTACATGTCAGGTCCTTGTTCAGTCTGGAATTCTTGCGTGAGCTGTTTGACCCAAATTACCAGAAAACACATATAGAGGCGTCTATGCATGCAGTTTTCTGCCTCCACTCCAATATAATGGAAGTTAGCTCTCTTTGGGAAGGGGTTTTGCCATAACCAATCTGTACCAAGAGACGTATCCACTCGATGGATGTCAATTTCAGCGGATACATCAGTGGTTAGCTGTAGCTAGCTTTTTGGGAAGTTAACTTAAAGATAATAATATGTAATATTTCCCCCATTCAAATTAAAACGCTACACCTATGTTATATATTTTGTCGAACTGTGTACTTACATTATCCAAATTGTTTCCAACAATGTTCAAACCCAGAGAAATAGGTTACTTTATTCAACGAACGGAGCATTTCCTACTTGACTCTAGTTGCTAAGTTCTGGGTAAACGCGGGATACGTCGGCTACATCAGGGAATGGGGAAGAAATTGGGCAAATTTCACAAAACAATCCTGAACAATATCTGCTTGAGTCATGTCAGATAGATTTTCATCAGCAATGGTGTTTGTTTAACGATGAAGACAACAACTCCCATATCCCATGCTACTTCATGACGTTATCAAACTGTGGCTTGTTATTTTGATGTGAGACACGCCCCTAGTGGTAGAAATGACACCCTGTACTTTAAAGCTGAATTAAGGACTTTTTTTGGCTACTACTAAGTTGTAAACACAAAATTGATATCACTTTATTAAGTTAAAATGACAAACTTGCTAGCAGTTTACACATCCAGAAGATGTAGACTGGCATTAGCATTTATTATTATTATTATTTGGAGTTGTGTTTCCGGCCACTTGATGAATCTAAGTCCAATACGGACTCTCTTTTTAGCTCTGGTTTGGTCTCCACCAGCTCCTGACTGAAATGCTAGCAATTAGCAGCTAACTTTATTAGCTAGTTGCTAACCTTGACTTTTGGTGCTTGGCAGCTAGTGTACAGTGGGTTTATCGGAACTTTTTGGTGGAAAATAGTTTACCAAAACTGTAAAACTGTGAGCCATAAAACCGAGGCAGTTTGAGCTGAGGGGAACTGCAGAGTTGGGTAATATTTATCTGTGGTTTAGTCACTACAAGCAACACTGTTTACATCATGTGTAGTTATTTGATCCATTGTTAATATAAGAATATGGATTAGTGCAGCTTTTATGTTTGTCATTCTGTAGTTGATTTACAACCACCAGTAAGTGTCAATCTTAGGTCACATTATTTCTGTCTCTAACACAGGAAGGTGACATAATGAGTAGTTCTTCAAAACTCTGATTAGCTTAGTTGTTTTTCCAAACTGTCTAGATGCAAGCAATGAGCATGACACCTACTGAAATAGCAGAAAATGAATACATTGGATGTGTAGGCAGAAATTCCGAGGTCTGGAAACACAGGCTATCTTCTCAAAAACACAGTTTTCACTGGAATTTCTTTCTACTGAAGAAACAATTTCCATTATAACTGTTATCATCCAAAGTAGCAGTGACACTGCAAATGGCAAGACATATAAAATATACAAATATTTAAAAATATATATATTTTTTTTTATGTTATTAAAACAAAAAACAAATAAAATTGGGTTTGAGACACCAATCTCAGATACTTAAAACTTGGACAAACTAAACCAAAAGTATCTGCACTGCTAGATACTTTTGTAAAGCTTCAGAAGATGTTTTCTCTCTTCTCTTAGTATGGGTGATTCGACCCTTTACAATCACTGCTGGATGAAGTGAAGTGCTACGAACAGGTGGAAGGTGTTGGGAAGTGTGTGTCTGGAAAGACTGAGCCCACAGACAGGAAGTGTCAGCGTCATAATTCAATGGAACATCAGCGATGGGAGACACCCACTCGATAAAACCACTGACACACAGGAATTCGCCCAACTTTAATTACACTGATTAGCCAACATATGATCCAGAGTACTGGTAAAACTCAGTAGTGGGTTTTTCACAGTGCTAAAAACTGTGACTCCTCAGAAAAGAGAAGAATCTTTAGACTGCATATTAACTATATTTAGACACCTGTAGTTACATTTTTCATCCAGAACAAACAATCACCTTATAAAATATGAGTATCATAGATTAAACTACCCAACAACATAAAAAGTAGTCCAATGTAACTCTGCTACAGCAGAAGGAAGGAATGGCTAAACTGTGATTAATAACATTCAGCTACAGTTGGTGGTTGTACTTTGGTTAAAAGAAAATAGTTTAGTATAGTAGAGTTTTTCAAATGTTTTTTTTTTTTGGCCCATCTGGTTCTATTATATTGGAGACAAGGCAGACATCACTACCGCCGATATCTGCATAACTCGGTAACTCACACCAAAACAATGGAGATTGATAAATAGCACTACAGATAAGAGGAAAAATATGTTGTTTTGATTTTGGGGTGAACTGTCCCTTTAACTCAAGTAAAGAATTATACTAGTACTTAATAAGGTACAAACAAATGTATTAGCGAATTAATTGAGTATAGAAAGAATGTATAAATTGTTATTCAGTAACATAGATAAGAAATAAGATTTAAAAAATATGTAACTCTCAAACAGATACCTACATACACATTCCAACTTAACAAATATAGGGGATTACATAGGCTATATACACCTAAACCACAGCCTGTAATTTAATGGTTAAAGGGTCACACAGTGATTAAGTATTGTACTTCCTTAGGGGAGGCAGATTTAATAAAAATAATTATTAAAATTGAAGCAGCAGAGGCCGACATATTCTGACTTTTAGTCTCTAGTATGGGTCAAGCTCCCTAAAAAGCTGGATCCTATATTTCCCATAATGCCACTCCATACAATCATAACTCTAAAGACATCATCAGGGTTATTTTTTCAAACTGCGGAAAGTTCCCTCCTAAAGGCATTATACAGAGCTGTTCCAGGCTGAGTGTGCTCTGTGTGAGCTGTAAACTGAACCTGTGGTGTGAACCGGGTGGAGAGTCCCTGCAGCTGTGGCAGTCAGTCCTGTTTCCTATGAAAATGTTAACCTGTTTACTTTAGCGAATGCAGGGTAAGGCGTTTGTCCAGCTCATCATTTTGAGTCACACAGACATGAACTCATGAGTTTAAGTGAAGCTGATAATCAGCAACTATGGTGAAAGAAATACTTTGCATATAATTACAGTTTTATACGCTCTATATTTTTTATATACAGTGGATGAGGGCAGAAATAAAGCACTTTCTTTATTGTTAACCTATCTGTAGTGACACTGGATGGTAACAGCTTGCAGGATGTGTCATGGAGGGATTCCCATGAACTCGAGTGTGACTGAGCATTGTATCAGTGGCTGTGGGTTAGCAGGCGGAGGGGGAGGCAGGCTCATGATGAAGAGCTACATCATCATTCAGGCCTGCTGTGCAGCTTTCCACAGGTGCGGACTGGACGCCCGGCTGTGTGAGACGGTGAGCTGTGCTTGTGGCCAGACGAGACGAGACCTTTAAGTACATACCTTAGGATTTCTCGGTCACGTGACTCGGTCTCTACAACCTGCCTTCTCCCAGCCGGCCGGCCGCTCTCACCATTGAAAAAAAAAAAAAGGTAAACATTTTCTACAGCAGCATTGACAGACTAGCTCTAGTTTACAGGCTGTTAGCCCCGAAGTTCACCCTTTGTTACTGAACCCCACTCCCCCAGTTAAAGGCGGAATGACACGGAGCGACGGGCGCGTCGCTGCCTACGGAAAGAGACGGGGAGTGACAGTGTGCTCAGTCAGGCCTTATCTCTGTAAGAAACACTCTCCAACCGAGCTCCGCCACGGGCTACGTCTGCGATCTGCGCACTTTTGGCGACATTATTTCCGGACTGGAAGCGATGCACGGTCGCAAATGCGAGACGGGAGCGATAATAGAGCAACGTGGCGGTCGGATTTGTGAAGATTACAGGCAATAAAGTGCTCTGCACAAGACTGCCTCCTAATCCCTGTGTGAAAGGGATGGGCAGTGCACCGGCTGAATCTGACTTTCTGCACACACACACACACAAAAAGCAGCTGGGTGGGGAATGGCAGGAGAGTCTTCCTCCTGACTCCACGCACGCACATTGTGGTCTAAAAAGGGTGTAGGCGCACTTGCGTTGGATGTCAAACACATTGTCAGACTCTTATGATTAGTTTGAAATCAGATTGTTTACATGAGGTAGTTACTTTTAATTCCTCCCACAGAGCCAGACTTCTAACTTGTATCCCACCCATTTGTTTTGCTGTTTCTTTGTTGCAGGATGGCAGAGGCTCCCATGTCATGTGATTGTTTTGTTTCCTTGCCCCCCGGTTCTCGCGATGACCATGTGATTTTTGGGAAGAACTCCGACCGTCCCCGGGATGAGGTGCAGGAGGTGGCCCACTACCCCGCAGCGCCTCACCCTCCAGGCTCCATGCTGGAGGTAAAGCCGCCCTGGACTCCTGCAGTCCCACACCCCCACTGCTGCTGACAACAGGCACCATGAATGATAGAAATACACAGGGTGACTGATATGCTGCTTACTCCCACACTCTGGTGCATTGAATTAAGAATAAAAAGATTCAGATCATATATTTGCTCATCATATTAGTGCATTATTCACAAGAAGCCTGTCTAAGAAAGTAGTCTGAGACACAACGGTAAAATATTTACATGGGAACTTTATGTGGAAACATTCTTTCCTGTTAATGTTTAAGAGGAAGTTTTTACCCACTGATGAAAACCCTTCTCCCTCTCACTCAGTCATGCAGTGTTGGTTTTATTTGTCCAGGTTTTGACATATCTGTTTCTGAGATGTGCAGTAGAGGTGAATGATAGTATTGTATGTTTTTGGTGCTCACAGCATTGAAAAATGAATCAGCAGTAATGTGTCCTGATCACTCAGGATAACGCACAGTCCTCGCTGTAAACAACAAGTTTCATTAGAGCTACTTTTTACACAAGAAATAGTCCTTACGTAAAACATTGACAGATTGTTGTGTGGATTAACATGTCTTCAGGTTACATTTATAACCTGTTGCTGTTATTAAAAATAGGTAGAATTCTAAAATTAACAGGTCTGGTAAAAACATTTCTGACAGCGTAGCTGATGAAAACTCTTCAGAGTAATAGTTTTGTTAGCTCCATCAACTAAATTGCATTATACAGGTAGATATTTCAAAACTACTAGAGGTAAAGGAGGAAAAAATCCTTTTATAATGTTGGTGAACCAGCCCTTTAAATTTAATATAAGCAGGGGAACGCATTCAACTTCTCATCCAGTTGAAATTTTAAAGCCCCCCTCCACTCAAAAATCTTTTTTTCTTCCTGGTCCTACTGTGTGCTGTTTGAATGCTGTATGTGCAGTTTGACACTAGAAGGATGTT